AGGTCAGAGCTTGATGAAGCTAGGAGGACCGCATCATCTGCAAAAAGCAGAGACCAGATTCTCTTGCCACCAAACCTTCCACACCCTCCACACCATGACTGCACCTAGAAATCCTGTCTATAAAGATTATGAACAGGTTCAGCGACAAAGGGCAGTCCTGGCAGAGTCAAACCCTCATCGGGAACAGGTCCATCTTACTGCCGGCTATGCGGACCAAATTCAGCTCCTCTGGTGCAAGGACTGAATGGCCCTTAACAAAAGACCATCCAACCCATACTCCTGGAGCATCCCCCACAGGGTGTCCCTGGGGACATGGTCATAAGCCTTTTCCAGATCCACAAAACACATGTATTGTTTGGTTGGGCAAACGTCCATGACCCCTCCATCACCCTAGCAAGGGTAAAGAGCTGGTCCACAGTTCCACGACCAGGACGAAAACCAAGTGGAAGCTACTTAGGTAGATATTCATTTATTAGTATTTTTTTAGTTACAATATTGATTTGTCAGTGTTTACTTTCTGGTGTATTTTTTAAAAACTTTCAAAGTTGTAAGCATTGGAAGTATAATTTGACATTTCTTTTTATTAATTTGGTATAAAAAAAAAGATTGCTGAAGCGATACAGCTGGATATTCCTACGATCACAAATTCAGTCATTCTGAAGTTACAAAAAGCATCTTTTGAAAACATCCATTTCCCAATAGAGTACTTCTTGACTGCCTATGCAGTTTGAGTTTTGTATTATTAAACAACTTTGTGGCAGAGCAAATCAAAGATGGAGAAAATGTGGTTGGGAAACAAGGGCTGTATCCCTGCAGCACACAGAGCTGCACGAGGAAAAGGATTCCATTGTTTTCCTCGCTTCCGACCACATCAGTGCTTCTGTAGACAAAAAGGCTGCTGTGAACAGGTGCATGCTGCAAACCACATGATCACATGTTTGTTTTACTGGCACAGCTTAGCAGTGTTATTGACAGAAAAAGAATTGTGAGACGGGGAAAAGATGTGAGAAGCAGACCTGGCTTTCCATAGGTGTCATAGCCTTGAAATAATCTTTGTTCACTGAAATCCTCGGCATCTGTACAGAATGCACAATCACAGAATTCTAGCGATAAAAAGGATTTTATTATGGCCTAAGGATAGCAATGATCATTTAAAGGCATACTAAGTAACTTCTTCATATTTTCTGGAGCCATAGGAGCTAAAACGACCCTTTACATGGTGAATGAAAAGTCATTCAGTCACCCTTCCCTGTGGCAAGGATACTGCATTTGCAATTTGAGACTCTCCGACCCGCTGCCCTGAAGCCTCACGACGTCACCTATCTCACAAGAAGGAGTGACGCTTTGCAGCAATCTAACTTCACGCCTCAGGTCAGACGAGCTATACCTGGTTAGCATTTATTGTAATATGTTTATTGTGGCAGAGCCTCAGAAGAAACAAAGAAAACCTTTATCATGAAGCTAAAAAGAGAAAAAGAACATCCAACCACAATAGTTTTCTGAATCGGGAGAGAATTAAGATCAAATGCAGACCTAACGATCATCCTATTTCGCTTGTAAATACAGCTTAAATATGTATTTTTTCTTTTGTGCATGCTTTTACTTTTCCTTCATTTGTAATTACTTCTAAACATGTTAGTCAATCTGCTCTGCCACTACGACCCACATAAACTCTCCTCTCACCTGGCAAACGCTCAGTCACTGACACTTTCTCGTCTCTACCCAAGCTCCTCATATCCTCACACACCATCAATTTCTCACCGCGCCACACTACCGGCTGTCCATGCTATGAGAAGTTGTCTGCCGCTGAGCCGCGCCGCTCGGAAGGTTCCTGTCAGCTAGCCACTTGTAGCTTCTAAAGTAATGTGCCTGTCTGTTATCAACAAGCGCTTCAACACCTGCATTTTGGATTACCAACGCACTACAGCCTTTTCCTGAGGTCACATGATTCCTCCTCTCAGGATCTTTCTTCAGTTTTGGTCATATTATTCACCTGCATGTCTTAGATCATGAACACAGCTGATTTGTTTGATTTAGTGATTGACCGCTCCTGTAGACACTAATGAAGGCTGAGGAGACTTTTCACCTGTTAGATTGAAAACAAGAGGGCACAGTGAGTACAGACAGTGAATTAAAAAGAACAATAGGGGGTGTGAAAGCACGCCATCACTAGTATGCCTTTAGTTCCTTCTCTCTGTAACGATGGGTAGTTTTTGCTTCTCAGCGTCACTCATATCTCAATTCTCATAATCTACAAGAACAATTCCAATCTGGTTTCGGACCACAACACAGCATGGAGACAACACTAGTAAAAATCACAAATGATCTACTAATGGCAGCAGACTCAGGCCATCTCTCCATTCTGGTTTTACTAGATCTAAGTGCTGCATTTGACACCATTTCTCACAGCATACTTCTCAAAAGATTAGCATCTATTGGCATTAGTCACACATCCCTAGCCTGGTTCACCTCATACATATCGGATCGTACTCAGTTCATTCAACTTCAGTCTCACTCTTCTAGTTCTTCCCCGGTTACTGCAGGAGTTCCCCAAGGCTCAGTTCTAGGCCCTCTTTTATTTATCATCTATTTGCTCCCCCTTGGTTACATTTTCCGCAAATACAACATTGATTTTCACTGTTATGCTGATGACACCCAGCTGTACATTTCCTCCAATCCAAATGCATCCCTTCCACCAATCTCCCTCTCTCACTGTCTATCTGAAATTAGATCTTGGTTCTCTTAGAACCTACTTAAACTAAATAGTAATAAAATGGAACTCCTACTCATTGGCACCGCTTCTGTTTAAAAAAATTCTCCCAACTTCTCTATCAATATTGACGACTCCACAGTTCACCCATCCTTACAGGTAAAAAGTCTTGGTGTCATACTAGATGGTACACTTTCATTCCAATCTCACATTAACCATGTTACTCGAGTCGCATATTACCATCTTCGCAATATCAACAGACTCCATCCTTTTCTCACGCCTCATGCTGCTGCAATCCTCGTTCATAGTCTCATCACCTCTCGCGTTGACTACTGTAATTCCCTTCTATTTGGTCTCCCAACTAAATCCCTTCATAAACTCCAACTTCTCCAGAACTCTGCAGCATGCATCATTACTGGGACCCCCTCAAGAAATCTCATCACTCCTGTTCTTAAAAACCTACACTGGTTGCCAATAGAAACCAGGATCATATACAAGATCCTACTACTTACATTTAAATCTGTACATAGCATGGCTCCACTTTATCTATGTAATTTACTAACTATTGCTACCACTTCCCGATCTCTTAGATCCTCATCTGCACTTCATCTGGTTCAACCTCGAGCTCGCCTTACCACCATGGGGAGCAGAGCTTTCAGCTGCTCTGCTCCACGGCTCTGGAACTCACTTCCCTCTGCCATTAGAAATACGTACTCTTTTCCATTATTCAAGGCACACCTCAAAACCCACTTATTCAAACAAGTTTATTCCCTTTAGACCTAGACTTAAGAATTGTTTCAAATTTTTATGTATCTTGTTTGTTCTTATTCCCCTATCTAACCTCTGTTGATTTTTGTTTTTGTCTTTGTAAGGTGACCTTGGGTTTGAGAAAGGCACCCTCAAATAAAATGTATTATTATTATTATTATATTACATCTTACTTATAAACCATAAAATGTGAGATTCCATAGAAATATGAAATATCAATCTGATGGATCTTTGAATATTTTAACCAGAAGATCAGAACTTTTTATTGCAGGGATTACTTGACACTTCGTATTAACTCCGAGGAAAGAAAGAGAGTCAGGTTTATAATAGTTAAGAAATGTATTTCTACACAATTTAAACAAGACTAACTTTAAACACTCGGTGGACTGATGGTACTAAGGTGGAGTGAGACGTGAGATGATGGGGTATGTGTGGAATGTTGCTATCAGAACCTTAGGATCCGGAGAAGCATTTAGTTCTGAGTGGAAGTGAATGTTTCGCTCTGAACTTTAGTTGGAGATTTATAACACACATGAGATGCCATCTGTCAGTCTACGTACCCAGGGGAAGCCTCTGTTTATATCCAGAATGTCAAGGTCCTCTTGGACCCTCCTTGGAACCGAAGCCGGTAGAAAAGCAAAGGTGCCAACCAAACTAGTCTTGGAATGCTTCCAGGTCACGACAGGTTATCATTGGCGTCAGCGAGACCCTGAAGGGGTCGTGAGGTTCAGCTTTTATTCTGAAGGAACCGTTGCGGTCAGGTGTAACTTGCAACAGATTTTATCCAGCTTGTAGCGGTTCTTTTGGCTGAAGAGGAAATCCGGATGGCCTGTCCAAGACTTCTCTAGAATGTTTAGAACTAAAGAAAAGGTGGCGTGGAATAGTTTTTATAATTGTCATATTTTGGTTTACTGGTGAATCAGAATTTGACATGCAAAAGAGGGTTTATACAAACACCACAGAAAACCACGCCTCGCGTCAGAAATGACGGTTCTGATTGGATCAGAGAAAAGGAAATGTGTCGTGTGACTTTAGCATTACGTATCATCAGTGTCTAGTGCAAATGTCCATGATTATAATTACTTGTAAAATCACAGGATTATAATATCAAGTAATAACATTGTCATTTCACAGATTGATCGAACATTGGGCTCACATTGTTATTGGCAATAACAAACGTTTGATTATGTATTTATCAAGAGAGTTCTTCGTCTTCATCTTGAGCTGTAACAGAGGTGAAGCAGTTTAGATGAGCAGAGTGCATGAAAGACCTTGGCCACTATCTCATGTAGATTAGGCCTGTGTCAGAGACTGTATGTCTCTGCTCGAGCAGACGAGCAGATCATGACCTTTAGGTCAAAAACAGGACATTCATGACGCTACATCTCACAAACTAAAGAATATTTGCATCTGGCCTTGCTTTTACTAAAGACTCTATTGAATGTGGTTATCTGATGCTAGTACCTGCAGTTGAAAGATCCAACGAAGTAAAAATGGATATTTGTGTGTTTGTGTATCTTACCGCTCTGGCAGGGTTGCTGTAGTCTATCTTGAGACTGGCCATGGCTTTAACAATAGCCATGATAGACTGGATGGTATTACTGTACACCACCGCTCGATACTGCTTGCACTCGTCTTCTGAGTATCCGTCTTCATGGATGATCCTGAAAAATTTCACATAGTATGGTAAATGTTAAATGGACTGTATTTGTATAGCGCCTTAGGGAGACTTAAACCCCCCCCAAAGTGCTTCACAACACAATCAGTCATTCATCCATTCACACCCTGGTGGTGACGAGCTACAATGTATCCACAGCTGCCCTGGGGCGCACAGACAGAGGCAAGGCTGCAGAGCACAGGCGCTACTGGTCCCTCCAACCACCGCCAACAAGCAAGGTGGGTTAAGCATATTGCCCAAGGACACAACAGAAGCACTCTCTACCAGGAGCCGGGATCAATCCTACAACCCTCTTGAGCTATTGCTGCCATGCAACAATAATTTCACTGCATAAATGTTGATAAATCTATAAAAAATGTTACAATATGACAGGATGTTGTAATGCTCGGATACACAGTAAAGTGTCAGGCTTGGTAGATTAACATAATCTCAAATGGTTTCTCTCCAAAATTCTACTTCACAAAATGAAAGTAATAACACAGTATTGCATCACCATGCTTTATATAATAAACCCATGATGAGCTGATCTCTATAGTTTGTTTCCAACATGATTAAATAAAGACAAGCAGTCTTGGTTATTGTAATTTATCATTCCTGCAAACTGGACAGTGTTAAGTGATCATAATGTTTTACATTTGCAAGTTAAGTGCACAGTAACCAAAAAAACATATTGAGGGTAGATGAAAGCAGCAGAAGTATTGCTTTTATTACCTCCATGAAGGTTTAATTGCACTAATGCAACAACGGATGTGTCAACCAGAGAAAAACGAAAAACGACATCCATTATTTTCACCTTTTTAGTATTTTCCATTATTCCCAACTTCAGTTCTGTTGTTAGTCAAATGTGTAGCTGCACAGTCACAAAGAAACTCTGAGGGCTGCAGTTAAAATTGAGATTTTATTATTTTTGTGTCATAAAACTTATATAAAGGGAGAAATAGGGTTCATTGTGTTAGAATATGATAAATATGAGCAGCTAAATATTTTCATATGAACACTAAAATTAAATCTAAGAAGATGTACCTGAAAAAAAAATCCTGTGTTTTAAGCTGTTTTATGTATTTGGCTCAGATTCTAGTTGCTGAGGCTAAATATCAAAGGTAAAAGCACGGAGGAGGAAAGTCTGAACAGTTATTTATTTAATAAGACCATCTGTCAGATTCCTCTGAAGAGCTGATCAGAAGCAAAATGAACCACTGCTGCACAGAGAAGGGGTCTGCATTGGACCTCACTGATTTTAGATATGATTTAAAATACATGAGAATGGATCTAAGGCCCTGTCCACACGTAACCGGGGATCTGCCAAAACGTAGATATTTTTCTACGTTTTGGTCTGTCATCCACACGAAAATGGAGTTTTTTCACACGAAAACGGATCTTTTTAAAAACTCCGGCCAAAGTGAAGAGCTGTGTTTTCTCCGTTTTGGGTGTCTGCGTGTGGACAGACAAAACCGGAGTTTTAAGGTCCGCAACATCACTTTCCGCGGCAAAAAAATGCTGACATCATGTGTGCGACATGTGTTTACACTAGCCGACAGCATGGATGCCCTCAGAGCTGCACTCGCTTTATCAATTGTCCAAGCGCTTTTTGCTTGTTTGTTTTAGCAAGCGGAATTACCGCTCCATGCGGAAGACCACAGACGAAGGACGAGGTTAAGAACGGGGGAAGTACTGCCGCCTACAGGTCTGGCATGTCCTTAACAACGTATTTATCCGGGTACGTGTGGACAGTTTTTTTTTAAATGAGGTGGTGTGGATGCAAGTTTTTGGAGGGGCGGATATTCGTTTTTTTAAAAACCCGGCTACGTGTGGACTAGGCCTTAGTCTCTAGGCGACGCCATAGGGAGCCTAAGTCACGCCCATCTACTTCCGGACCATGGGTCCCCAGAAGAACGAAAAAATTTATGCAAGTCAATGGGACTAAAAACGCTATTTTCTAATATCGCTTGTTATGTGCCATGGATTTCACATATGATTTCCATGAATTTTAAAGAAGCTTTTGATACCGAGAACGCACTTATTTTCAAACGGGGTGAAACATTATTTAGGTTTTGTGTGAAAATAAGTCCAGGACTACAAATGCGCATCACGAAAGTGATGTCATCGAACCAGACACGAAGAAAACTGAGAGAAAATGGCTGTAAGTTCAGCAAACTTCAAATCCTTCCTTCAGGAGGAAAGAACCACAATAAATCTGGCCATGTGGTAAGTAGCAGCTATGCTAGGGGAGAGGAGATTCTGTGGTGATGTTACATATGCGACGTGCCAATGTAGTCATGCTAATTATGAACTTTTACAAGCTGATAAAGCTCAAAGTACATGACTGGTGTGGTCGAAACACCCATCATTAGTTTTCATTTAAATTGCAGTACAACATATGTGTGATCTAGTGTTAGGAACATTACTTTTAAAAAGTAATTAGCTATAGTTACTAATTACTTTGTCAAAAGGTAACTCAGTTACTGAGTTACGAGATTATGAAAGTAACTAATTACCAAGAAAAATAACTACTAAGTTACGTTTTTCATTAAAGAATGCTAGAAAAATGGGTTCCCCTCTTACTTGAACTTACTTAATTTGCTATAAAGTGCTGCAATAGTGAAATATAAATGAGTAATGACTGGAACATAAAAAAATGTATGTCCAAATGTTTTTTATAAACCTGCATAATTTAAATAAATAAGCACTTAACAGGAGGAACTACTAACAGGAAGATTACACTAATCTAGACTATTAAAAGGTCACTGAGTGATATTTAACAAGACCCCAATCACCTAAAATTTTAAATTGCAAATAGAAAAACCTGTAAAGCTTCCCGAGCCTTTAAATTGTCTCTCAGTCTAGTTAAATTACAGAAATAAATGTAATTTTGCACAGTATTTTAATTTTTCCAGCTTCACGTAATTGTGTTTTAGCAGCATTTCTGTTGCTGGTAATCTAGTAATGGTTAAATAAATAAATAAAATCCTTTAAAATGACACTAGAAGAGGCACAAGCCAGATGGAGGACTTATATTTACTAACTTGGGTCAGACCCAACCACAGAAGAGCTGAAGCTGGGTGGTAAACACACACAGGTAGTTCTGATAACACCTGAGCTCCATGACGTCTGAGACTGATGCATCAGTGTTACAGCGGGACTAAAGACATGATCAGAAACAGGTTACAGCTGGATGATCTAGGAAGGTAGAAGACCGTGGCGTCTGAGCGGTGAATGGGTGAGCGGACCTTCGGAACATCCCGCTGTCACGCCAAGAAGGGCACGGCTGCAGATTCCCACCTGCAGCAGCGAATCTGTGGGTCTGCAGCCGTAGACTATTTTATTCATCACATCTTCCTTGTTCTTCATGGGCCGTGATGCGCTTGGATGAAAACATCTGCCTCTTTAGCTCCTGATCAGCTGATGACAGCTTCAACACACTGCGCTGCTTAACGCACGCATTTCCTTATCAGTAACAGAAACAACGTTTTGATAAAAGAAGACGTAATTAATTAGTTTGCTTGTTGCTGAAAAAAAAATTGTTTTAGTAACGTGGTCATTTTAAACTGCGGTATTCCCATCACTGCTCTATTGTGTCTACAGCATGCAGTGACAGCGAGAACACTGAGGGTCTCCGACCACCCAGCATCATCGTGTTTGTAAGTGCGTTACCGACTCCTCTCTCTCCCTGGCTGCAGCTGAAGTGTGGTGGTCAGAAAGCCTCACACTGTTGCTCAACGTTCGACAAGCACATAGTAACGCACAACCTTTCATCCCCAGTACGGGGATGGAAGCAGGGCCAGATTAACACTTTGTTGTACCCTGGGCAAAAATATTCAAGGGCCCCATCATCACAACCCAAGGATCACCATAATATGGTCACATGCAAAATATATTACTGTAATATGCAGTAAATATACTCAATACTTGAATGTCTGACATCATGTAACCTGCTCAGGGTAACCTTTGACCCACCTCGTGTGGACTGACCAATGAGGAGAGGGTCTTAACTTGAGGCCCTCTCTTTATTGGTCAGTCTGCAAGAGACTGACTCTCAACTGACGTTCAGTCATAGGCAGCGAAGCGTCTCTGTGCAGCGCAAAAGCCCGGGTGGACAGTTTGTTGAATATAGGGTGATCATATTTCCATTTCCAAAAAAGAGGACAGGGGATCTGTGTCTATGACGTCACACTATGGCAACGCCACACAAACCACGTTGGGACCCATTTTTTTGAAAGAACTAAATTAATATCAGATTCTGCCAATAAAAGGGCTCTAAAACAATTCATATGTAACCATTTAGCATATTTATTGCAAAATCTCATTTTTCTGCTTTAATACTGCAACAAGGTTTTATTCATAATAAATTATTACCTTTTGTTTTACTACAGCATCGGTAAGCTTCCTGTGCACAGATTATCAAGGATGCTTGTTTCAGCTGTGAGATTAGACGATAGGATCAATGAAAAAATAAGTTGTCACACACTCCATGGAAACTTTCAGAGAATCCACAAATAGTGGCTTTCAAATGGTTTTGTTACTTTTTGCAAGTTTATAAAAGCAGCAGATGAGACAGCATGTCTGATAATTTAGTTTTTCATCTGATAATATTAGAACATGTCAGTAATGTCTGAGGGGCTTTTATAAACACTGTATAACTAACACTCCTGGAGAGGGTATGAATTGCACAGAGGCTTCTGGGGAGCCCAGTTATGGGGGTGGTCATTTTGCCTTGGCCCCCAAAATGTCTTGAAACGGCCCTGGGTGTCTGACTGAGTTTTGAAGGTGATCTGAATTGTATCAGATGTATAAATATTACATGTGTGTAACTTATTGCTTTATACAGGTAAAAACGTGTAGTGGAGATAAATCTACCTACATTTTACTTTTTGTTTTGTTTTCTTGTTTTTATTTAACTATTTCCTGTCCTGTCTGTCTCTCATCTTCCTGCATCTCCTCTAAACTCTCCAGAAAAACTGCTGCCCGGATTCTTACTTTTTCTCCTCATCGGTTACTTTTGAGCAGATCAAAGGGATCTCCTGACTACAAAGCGGAGTGCGCGTTTCGATGCTGCGTCAGTGAGGTGAAATCACCGCAGCACAGGTGATGAGCTCCGCAGTAACAGAGCGCTTCAGGCGCAAATAAGACAGAAAATAGAGAACATGTGCGGACATGAACGATCATGTGTTAATTATAGTTTTTTGGTTGCGCCACTTTGAGAATGGACCGTGCGCTGGAAGCAGCTGCCTGGATCGCTGCGCAACAAAGCAGCGCTGTGCCGCTCTCTGCTCAAAAGAGTCCATAAATGATGTATTATTGGTAGAAAACTTTTTTCCGGTTCCCCTGGATGTGTAGGATATCCAACTCCCCCATAATTCGATCCCGGCTCCTGGATGAAAAGCCGGACATTTTCATCAATACAAGAACCCCCAGTCCGGACGCCCGGACAGAGAGTGAAAAGTGGACATGTCCGGGGAAAACGGGACGTACGGTCACCCTATCCTCATAAAGCGGGAAATTACAGATACAGTATTTTGCTCGTGCCCTTGCTGCCCTGGGCCCTTTAGAGTTCGTGGGCCCTGGGCAATTGCCCAGTTGCCCATATGGTTAATCCGGCCTTGGATGGAAGGTTGTGTGGGGATGGAAGATAATTCTGTTGCCTAAAAAAGAACGCCGTTAGTAACGCCGTTATACTTAAACGGCGTTACTCCCAACACTGGTGTGATCCAGGGCATAAGGCAAAGCAGATTAGAAAATAGTTATTTTAGCCCCGTTGACCTGCATTCATTTTTCCGTTCTTCCGGGGGCCCGTGAGCCGACCGGAAAGGAAGGAGACTTAGGCTCCCTATTAGATGCCATGTTTCCTTCTACAGGAGCCAGTGAGGACAAAATGCATTTACTGATTTCTAACAAATGGTTACAAAACTTTCACCATTCATAAATGTTGTTTTACACAGTTACCTCTTCGTTTGCTGCCAGTGAAGAAAGACAGTCAGACGTTTTTGTCATTTTGCTGGAAGATGCGCTCCCAGGGATTTTTGACCCTAATGGCCATCCGTTGGTAACCTCCGCTCCGCTGCGCTCTGCTCCGACACGAACGCCGGAGCAAAATCGGTCCCGTTGTAGTCAATCAGAGCAATTCCACTACTGCGGCCGTGCTCCGGCAGTGCGGCGCCGTGCGCCGCCCTCTGTTCCGGCGTCCGGCAAAAATAGAATCGATCCTATTTTCGCCGGACGCCGGAGCACCTCCGCAGTAAATGGACAGAAATCACAACGGCCCAACAGGAAAAGGAGCAAGCAGAATTTCCGTTTTTCACAATAAATCGATAAACAAAAGGCGTTTTTTGTTTCATATGCACAGGTTTAACAACTTTTAACAACTAACAATGGCGGCTGAAGTTTAAATGCACAAAAGTAAGCCATAAATACAGTTTCTACGATCAAAGTAGTCACACTTTGTTGATCCAAACACTGCTGATCTCTCAATACAAATGATGGGCAGATTAAACAGCTCATGCCGATGCTTCTCCCACACAACGGGTGTTTGGATCTAACTTCCGCGTTTATTGCTCGGACTGTATCGCAAGATCTCGAAAATCCCGCGCATGCTTGTTTGCCCCCCTCAGGTCTCCGCACCGGAGCGGAGCCGTTGTAGAGCTGGTACCAGTAAAAATTGAGTTCGGAAGCGAGCGGCTGCGGAAGGCGGGGGCGGACCGGAGCGGAGGTACTGGAATTTGGGGGTTACTGAAACACAAAAATACTGCTTGCTTGCCATGATTTAAGTATCTACTGCCCCCTTTCGCTAGGGAAAATACACACTGTCACTTTAAGATTTGCAGCCTTTTTTCCCCAGTTTCACTCAAGTTGAATATAATCACAGAATTTGCTCTCCTGCAATAGTGATGCTGCTGCACGCCTGCTTCATGCTGGAGAAGCAAAAGCGTTCTATTGCTGCTCTTGAACTTAATTGTGCTGAAATGAATCAAAATAGTTAAACTAACTGAATTCTTTTTCAGCTGACTACATGTTAGCTGCGCTAACGATACTGTCGGTATTTGCTGCATATAATGTGAACAATGAGATGTTTCCAAAAGTGGTCTTAGACTGCTCAAGCAAACAAAGATAGAGTTCATCTTTGATTCCAGTATCTAAACCAGCTTTGACACAGAAACAGTTATCTTAAGAGGTAGTTCTACATCAGCACCTACACCAAAAGACCCTGACATGTATTTAAAGGCAAAAAAGTCCTAATAAAAGGTCCAATCCATCGTTTAATATATGATCTCACGTTTTCTTCATTTCTACTTGGTTTTTGAAGATGCAGCCGCCTCTGTATCACATTTCTCAGAAATGAAGACATCCTGTGCAGAATGGTGTGCAGCAGGGTGCTTGACACACAGTTTGAACTGCTTCCACTCTGCAGCATTCAGCTGATGCAGTGCTTCGTGCTTTTTTCCTGCTTTTGCAATAATAATTCTGTGGATGTAAGAGCGAGGAAACCAAGTGTCTTTGCATCAGGCAGCAGCGGGAAAGAGAAGGGAAAGCAAACCAAGCCAGTTTTCTGTTTATAGTGAAATCAAGCTGACTGATGCATTAAACAGTGATGTAAATGTTAATAATGACCGGTGGGAAATTGGAAAACCGTTGCCTTTGTGTGCAGCTGCTTTACAAACATGGATTTTTTGACATCCTGCAGGATATTTGTTGTGTAACAGAGTGGAGTCATGAGCGCCTCACAGGGTGATTTATCTGTGTGCTTGGATGTTTCATTAAATTATTTCTAAAACAATGGACTGTTCTCACTTCCAGCTCATGAAAAATGGATTTAATGCCTAGTTAGCCCTGAGGAATGTGAATAATTGAACTATTTAGTGTACTCAGTTGGTGCAGGTCCATTTCTATGTGTACCTCTGCAATCAGACATTCCCTACACGCAAAGGAAATACGTGATTGTGTCACTTCTAGAAACCTAAGTGCAAGAATTTAGATTCATTGCATTTAACAGTGGCATGGTTATCATTGTGAACCTGATTTAATGTGTGATAGTTGGTAACTGGGTGTGCTATCCAACCACGGAGGACAAAACCAGTGCAGGACCGGGAACAAACATGTATGCTTTTAATTTATTATTATTTTTTTGTATTTCCTTTACACAGAACAGATCAAAGTAAACGGAATAAAGATTGATTTTATAACTTACTTCATTTGCTTTACAATAGTGCTCTTCCCAGACTCCCCAGCACCTGTTGAGATGTAAAAACATTTGAGTTATGCAAGAACTAAAACAGGGTTTCAGCGTGTGTGTGTGTGTGTGTGTGTGTGTGTGTGTGTGTGTGTGTGTGTGTGTGTGTGTGTGTGTGTGTGTGTGTGTGTGTGTGTGTGTGTGTGTGTGTGTGTGTGTGGTTTAATTAGTGTAAAGTTCAACTTTAGCACTGAGAACTTGCGTGACCCAGCGGTGACCTGCCTTCAAAATCAGCTCAGTCTTATGGGTTTTTCAGTTTTTGTTTCTGAGGGGACACATTGTACTGATATGGATGTAAGGCCAAGCCTGCCACCTGTCCAATAGATCTCATTGCAATATATACTGAGTGCTGGTCAGCAGTGACCAATAGCATTAGACTACCGCTTACGTACAGACGTTAATCACAGAACATGCTCGAGCGTTTATGGACATAGCTCAGTTGATGTAGGTTGGCGACCTTACTCATGGACGACTAAGTTATGAAAACACAATACAGCATGAGCACTGTAATTGTAAAACAATGTGCTTTAGCTCTGTTGGCATTGGCTAGAGAAACACGTTCATGAACGAGAGGCGTTGCTTTAAACCTTAAATACAAAAATGAAAGTAGATCATGATGTGATACGCTTGTGAGCCACAAGATAGTGGCGTCAGATGAAAGAAAACATAAATACTGTAGCTACTTTAATCCATGGCACATGTCAAACAGGATCAGGGCTTGGGAGAAATTATGACACGTCTCTAAATAAAGAAAAAATTTATATTGCACAGAGGAGCCAACCCATAGAAGCACTGATTTGATCTCATTTCAAACAACAAGCACTGGAGGAAACCCTGTCAAGATCGTCAACACTCATTTTTATTAATGCTATTGAAACATGTAAACCAAAAAGCATTATAACCACTGCTACCTTTCTAATTTTAAACTCAGTGACTTATGCTGTAACTTCACCTTGCCCTGCCTGCTCCTCCTTGCTGCCTGCCGGCTGTGATCACAAGCGACAACATAGTAGAAATAAATAAAAAATCATGATAGTTTATTTTTGCAACCCATATTGGTCTAAATGACGGACAACAAAAATGTCTAGCGCGACCTCTGACCCAGCCATACACTACTATCCATTTTAAATCACCTGACCAACAATCATTAGCCAGCTGACGCAGCAAACAACAGGTGCAAACATCAACCAGATATTTCTTATAAATTCATCACATTAGCTCACCTGTTTTATTAGTTATAGTTTTTTTTATTATTACAGATGAATGAATTATGATGTACCAACATTCTAATCTCAAATACAATCCAGACAAATCTTTGTATGCCATTCTTCAAAGGTCACAAAACAAAAGAAATATTAATATTGGTTTTGCATCTGATTTACAGGATAATACAAATTTCGTGTGAGGAGAAAATGTAGCCAATGGAAAGCGAAATATCAGCCTCTCGGCAGACACACATACACACTTGAAGGTCACTTTCCTAGCACAAAAATAAAACTCCTCGATTAATATTTCAAGTCTACAAGGAGGTGAACTCTCGTGAGCAACAGAGAAAAGAGGAGTCTTCTGATTTTTTGATTTAAGGTGTTTTATTAGGATTGGCTGCTTTTATTGTGGAATCTGGGGATGGGGTGGGGGTGTCAAATTACTTCACATCTCCAGCAGATCAACTTGGTGTTGCAACACAAGGGAGTAAACAATGTAATTTAAGCTTTATTGTTATAATTCATCTACAGACTGAAATCCAATTAGAATTTTATTTTCTTTTATTTTTTTGTCTTTTCCTGAGGCGGTCACAGATATTTAATTTAAAACTGAGATTTTTAGAAACAGGCAAAACAAAAACATTTGTCATGGCATTTTAGGGATCCTGAAACCTCTCTGTGACCCAGAAGTCATCCATCTGCAAATGGCTTACAGTTCTGCTTTATCAGGAGATGATAATGGACTTTAAAACATCTTAACAAGCAAAGAGTGTCATAAGGTGGAAAAATAAATAGTGATGACAGGGAGGGTCTAAACGGAGTGTGCTAAAAATTAAAACGTCTGCTTAGTGTCACTGCAGGTAATTTAGCAACATCTTCTACTTCTCTTGAAACATATTTCTCCAGATTAATTTTGTTATTTTTTAATCAAATTATGTGGAGAGGGTTAGAAAACACGTTTTCTGTTAAACTAAGTCCTTAACAAGCAACAAAAAAAAAAAAAAGAAAGAAAATTGTGCTTAACGTCATGTCAAAAAAGCTCCTGGGTGGCAAGGCTCCAAGGGGTGGATGAGATCCACCCGGATTTCCTTAAGCCTCTAGATGTGGTGGTCCCCTTGGGGCATTGCAGGATGTGTTTCAACTACAGGGGGATCACACTCCTGAGCCCCCATGGTGAGGTCTATTCAGGCGTTCAGGAGGGGAGGGCGGATTGTCGAACCTCGGATTCAGGAGCAATGTGGTTTTCGTCCTGGCCATGGAACACTGGACCAGCTCTATACCATTAGGAGGATCCTAGATGGTGTGTGAGAGTTCACCCAACCAATCTACATGTGTTTTGTCGATTGAGAAGGCGTTTGACTGCGTCTCTTGGGAGGCCCTTTGTGGGGTACTTCAGGTGTATGGGGTACCACGCCCAGTGTTGCCAACTGTTTTTGACTGAAAGTAGCTGAAGTTCCCCCAAAAGTCGCTAGATGTCGCCAGATGATGTCACGTGCTAATTTGCATACAACGCAATGACGTCACCGGTCTCGTAGAGTAAATCAAACAAAACCTGCGTGATTTGATTAAAAAAAGTATTTGATTTATTTTTTAATATTTTATTAAAATAAAAATAAATACAAAACAGCATCCTTTAAAACATCAAGTAAAGATGGCACAAAAAATGGAAGGAATATTTCTATTTTGTCTGAAGAGAATGGAACTTGTAAACACAAAAATATTAAATTGATAGGAATGTATGTATGATTGAATTAAAATGAATTTTCTGTTGTAGTTTTCAAGTGCCTTGAGATGTATTCTTCTGTTGTGATTCAGTGCTATATATTGACCTAAAAGATAATATATGTATATATATATATATATATATATATATATATATATATATATATATATATATATATATATATATATATATATATATATATATAGATAGATAGATAGATAGATAGATAGATAGATAGATAGATAGATAGATAGATAGATAGATAGAGTTTTAGTTTGGTTTTGTTGTTTTTAGTACTTTTATGTAAAAAGAAGCAGGCCGTATTTAGTATTCAGAAACATTACATGCAAACTGCCAATGACCTGAGGTGTTTGTCTTACAATATTATTCTGTTTTTTATAAAAGTTTTAAATGTGCTACATTATTGAAGTCATCATAGAGTTCCAATGTTCCTTGAATGCACCACAAGTGGTGCGAGAAGCCATGGGTGAGTGCGACGCTGCCTGCCAGTGCCAGCCGAGCTCAGCTGCCGAAAGGCGGCAGGATGGCGGAAGGAGCGGTCGCCCTTTATGTAGCTGCAGTGGCTATCTCAAATAATGGACTTGTGAAAACCCACAAAAGGTTTGATTTGTCAATGGGGGTAGCGTGATCATAATGCATACACATGCGCAGATCATTTTCTTTCTGACCCTCTGGAAGGAAGGACGGTCCTGTCGCTTCAGATGCATCCAGATGCATCGCTAATCTGCAGGTAAAGTCGGCTACAAAGTTGTAGTCAAAGTAGCTGAGGGGGGTCAGAAATGTCGCCAGATTTGTCGCTAGGCGCTTTTTTGAAAAAAAAAAGTTGTTAAGGGGGTCTGAAAAGTCGTTAGAAATGGTGACAAAATCGCTAAGTTGGCAACACTGACCATGCCCTCTGATACTGGCTGTTAGAGCCCTGTATGACTGGTGTCAGAGCTTGGTCTGCATTAGTACACTTAGGTTGCTGCCACTGTGACCCGACTCCAGATAAGTGGAGGAAAATGGATGGATGGTAAACTCAAAATAGCAAAAACAGCTAAAACTAATAAACTCTCATTGGTCTTCCTTCATTTCCATGTTCAACCAATTAAACGTAAGCACCAGTTTAATTTATTTATTTTATTTTGTATGGGGGAATGGGGGTTGACGACAAATTAGATTTTTATTTAAAACAAGTGAAGTAAGAAAAACTTACGCTAAAATTACATTTAGCAAATTGTGAAAGAACATTATCAAGTTAGTTGTGTTATCTATTTTACTAGTGTTACGTTGCATAGTAATAAAACATTTTAGTAAGTACTGAAGAAACCAATAAACATCCTAGACAGCTTAAACCCTAACCCAACCCATCATAAAGGATGAAAGTATGAAACAATTAAATGAAAACAAATACATTAAATAGAATAAAAAATGTGTGTGTGGTTGTGCGTTTTAAGCAGAAAAATATAGATTAATTGAGTAAAACAGTCGGAGCTATACATCGAATCATATGTGAGAACTCTAAACTTAATACAACAAAGAGCAAAGCAACTTAATAAATATAAGAAAACATAAAAAAACCCTGATATTTCTCATCTTCTGAACTGATATTTGTTAAGTTAAAGACTGTGTTGGCTGCTGATTTATTCTTATAGTACGAAACGAGAAGAAAGAGAGAAGAACAAAGCAAGCTCATCTTTAATTCAGGAAAAACACTCAGGAGTCTAAATAAACGAGACAGAACGTAAAACTGAAGATCGAGCGGACGACACTGAAGAGGGTATTAACAGTTTTATGACTCAGTAACATAACCGGTTCTGTATTTGATTATAAAACTTACTCACATCAAGCTTAAATGTTTACAAAGTGTTTTAATTAAGTTCTAAAAACATTAAAACCATTTAAATCTTAAAAAAGAAAATTACACACGAAGTTAGATTCTATAAAACTTTAATAAAAATTATTGTTGCTACAGCTGAATCAGAATCTCTTCCTGCCAACGAGAAGAAAACGCCTCCATTTTCTGCTTTATTAATTCCATCTATTCATAGCTGTTCCCAAGATGGATTTCTG